AACTCATTAATATAAAATGTATACCTGTTTTTTTTTTTTTTTTTTTTTTTTCTAAATTATTGTTAATGCATACTTTATGTAATGCATAGGGTAGCATTATATATATATTTGATGCAGAATAGTGTAACTTTTGATAAAAAAATGAATTGTCCATTTATGAATAATTATATATTAATTATATAATATATAATACAGATATATTATTATATATTTCTTATATATTAAATATATATTAATGTGACAATAGTTATAACTAATAACTTTATTGTTGAGGATAAATATGAAGTCCAACATAAATAATAATTTAATTAATAATCATGTAACTTAAGAGGAGAGAAAATGAATGGTTTATTCATTAATAATTGTATATAACAATTATATAATAAATAATAAATATATATCATTATATTTTATATATTAAATATATATAAATGCATACCTTATTTAATGCATAAGGTAGCATTTTATACATATAGAAGATAATAAATAAATATATATTATTATATTAGAAATTATTATTATCAATTATATTATGTATTATCAATTATCTTTATATATATAGAAGTGTATCCGTTACTATGCTCATCCCTACTATTAATTAATTAAATTTGATTATGTGATAGTTGATGGGAAAGAAGAATTTGGATTAAGCTGGGCATATATATATATATAATACTTATCCTATTTAATGCATAGGGTAGCATTTTAATTGATTGGTGCACTAATATTTTAAATAGTATTAAATTTTGAATTAATGTAATAATATATAAGAATCCTCTTTCTCTTTATTTTTAACTGTAACCATTTAAAAGGAAAAACCCATAAGAATTTATATAAAAGAAGTGCGCCACACTAAAAAAAAAAATTAAATATTGAATTAGGGGTGTTTACCGTGTAGTTTGGTTCAGATTTTAACATTTTTTAATCCAATTCAATTTAATCGGTTAGTAAAATTTTTAAACCAATCAAATCCACTATTATATGATAACCAAACCAATTCAATTTAAATCGGATCGGTGTGGTTCGGTCTGATTGATCGATTTTTAACATTACTAAATATATGAGATAATGTAAATAAATTTAACATTAAGTAAAAAACATAAATATAAATACATTAATATCCAAATAAATAGAAACATAATTAAAAAAA